CATATATCAGAGGATATAAATGACCTCAATAAGGACAGGATGAGGAACGGAAACAATAATGAGATTGGACCCAGCTGCACCGTCAACTCTTTAAAACCTCAAGTGGAGAAGTTTTCTATCAGCTTCCATCTGACCCTCTTCAGCTCAAACTGTTTGGCTGCACTGTGGGGATTTTCTAATTTCATGCTCTTCTCCCAATCTTAAGGAATTTAACCAAAACTTCTCAAGGCAACAACTTAACACAACCGACTTAACATTCATTTAACCTCAATCGCTCGGAGAATAAAAAAAAAAACTGAACCGAAAGTAAAATTTAGTACTTAAGAACCAACGGTAGAGTAAAAAAAAAAAGCAACTAGTGTGCAAAATAAAACTACTGGGCAAACTTTTACCCCCAATCCCCCAGAGTAAATCAAAAAGGCACAGCGGATTAGTACACTGTTGCAAAGCTCCCATTGACCTAGAAGTGTGTGTGTGTTCACCACAACTAAATTAGGATTCATGTGTGTGTTTTATTATGTGTGTGTGTGTGTGTGTTTGCAAGTGTGTGTCTGTGTGATTAAACTCTAATCATATCAGTGCACCTAATCCTTTTACATGGGCCTTCGTTTTTGAGACCGAATGCTCAACATTTGTCTCAGCGAGGATCCTTATTGTGGAATCTGTGCATCCTGCATGCAACGAAATGTACATAGAGTGAAGATAAAATTAGAGCTTTGAGCATTGGACCAGGTGGGACGCAGAGGAGGAGGTGTAAGAAGAAGCAAATGAGAGAAGCAGGTGTGCAGGGGACAAGATCAAGACTTTAACCAAAGGAGGGGGGAAAAAAAGGAGAGGAATGAAGGAAGGGATGCAAGCTGGAGAATTGCCAGTTCTTTCAAGAAGCCACCGCCCAGTGGGTGACATTAAGCCCCGATCTGCTGCCGACACACACACACACACATATATATACGGCGCTTTCAGGAAATCACGACTTCCACTGGGTACATATTCGTCAGAAAACGGTTTTGCCAGGTGCAGAGAGTTGGCAGATCTCAGAAAAACACACTCACCTCATCTTATCTACCCTAAACAGACGTGCATGTGTCACATTTCTTCATGACAATCTCATACATCCTGGCAAAGTTACATGTAGCGTATGTGTGTGTGTGTGTATGTGTGTATGTGTGTGTGTGTGTGTGTGTGAAAGCATCAGTCAGCTCTTATTTTACCACCCAGCATTCACCTTTCCTCCAACACACACCACAAACCTCTCTGCATCCACACTTTCATCAGAAATCTTATATTTTCCCTTCACATCTTAACCCAAAGGTCTCTCATATTCATATACACAAAGGCACTGACTACTAGAAAGCACTTGAATAAAGTTCTCTGACCATCAGGAACACATTTCCTTTTTTCTGTCCCTGCACCCGGCCTCCCATTGATTCACGGATTTTTCTCTAAATGCATCTAAAAATGATGAACAGAAATAAACCCACGGGAGCAGGACGGGGAGGTGGAATGGTTTTTAAATGAGCTTTGTATTTCGAAATAGATAGTAAACATAGTTTGCCGGTTCGCGTCCCGGTGGGGGCACCGGAATCTTTCTGCGTGGAGTTTGCATGTTCTCCCCGTGCAGCGTGGGTTCTCTCCGGGTTCTCCGGCTTCCTCCCACACAGTCCAAAAACATGTTGAGGTTAATTGGTGATTCTAAATTGTCTGTAGGTGTGAATGTGAGTGTGCTTGGTTGTCTGTCTCTAAGTGTGGCCCTGCGATGGACTGGCGACCTGTCCAGGGTGTCCCCTGCCTTCGCCCTAAGTCGGCTGGGATAGACTCCAGCCCCCCCGCGACCCTAATGAGGATTAAGCGGTGTATAGAAAATGGATGGATGGATAGTAAACATAGTGACTTGTTGTTCTTTAACATAATTACTTTTTAACTGTTTTTATTTTATCCAATCAGTTTGATCCTCATATTGAAATCAGTTACCTTGAGTGCAAGGCCATGTCTTCAATTCACTTATCAATGGTACAAAATTCAAAGTTTATGATGATGTAAGATAATTTTATTCATTTATTTATTTTTTAAATGCAGTAAAATCTGACAGGTGAGAAAATGGAACAAGACTTTTTTTTTTTTTTTTAAACCCTGAATTTAATGACAGTGCTTTTATTCAAATTGCTTTATAAACACATGTAAAACACTTTGGACCTAATCTGCAAAATTCAACACAAACAAAAATTTATATATGTCCCGAGTGTTTCCTCTAACTCATAGACCATCTCTGGCTGTTCAGAGCAGAGGCAGCTCCAGGTAGTTAGCTTACGGTTAGCGCCAGCTAGCGTTAGCCTGCCAGCTAGGAAACTGTTAACAAAGTTGGCTGTTTGTTTAGTTAATGGGTCAACTTTGTTTGCTTTGTTAGTGAAATCCTTTTCGGGGCACTTTGACGAATCTTCCGCATCTACCTCGACTGCTAACGGTCCCAGAAGAAGTCATTTAAGGAGAAGGAAGCTAACCCAGCTAAGGTAGCGGTTAGCTAAAGCTAGCTGTGTCGTAGCTTGAGTTAGCTACACTTAGCTAAATTTACAAAACACAGCTAAGAATATTGTGTGTATTTGTAGTTTTCAACAACTTTAATATGTATTATACTGTTTCTGTCAAAAGAATGGACTTATGACCTCTATTCTGTATAAATATTATTATAATATATTCTTATTTTTGACACTCAAGAGCTTTACCCAGCTCTGCATATTGCACACAGAGTCATGTTTTACTGTGATGTAGTGTAAAAATATTGTTTATGAGATGCACTTATGCAAGTTAAGAAATCCTCCTTGATAAAAAACCAACCCAGGATACAGGTGGGGAAAGCAGAATCTATATTATTTTGGCTTCTGAGCCTAATCTGATTACATTTTCTCTATCTTTGTAGAGAGAGCAGGCTAAGAGATGATGCAAGATCAAGGTGTGCGGGTGAAAGATGTTTGTCTGGGTGGTGAGGAGGACAGGATTTGGTTTGGAAGAGGAGAGCTGATGAGAAGGGAACAAGATCAAAGAACACATATTTGCACAATATGCTCTTTATATTGGGTCTTACTGGGTAAAATAGCCTATGATCAAGGCAGCAGGGTCTCAGGAAGAGCTTGGCTGATGGAGAGGCCTCAGATCCTGGCCTTTGATTGAGGATGATTGGCTTTGTCAAAGGCTTTTGCCCTGATAATTGCAACCCAACCTTACGAGCATTTTCCTAAAAGATGTGTTGTCATTTCTTGTTTAGCTCAGCTATGGTGCTGCCTCGGTTGTTGTTCCGATCAGCAGGCTTTGTGACTGTGTGTGTGTTTGTGTATTTGTTGTCCAATCCTCCAGAGACAAATGATGTAAGGAAGGCTCACTGACAGATTTATGACAACGTGATGACAGAAAGACGAAATTTTATTCGTCACACAAATTCAAAAGGACGTTTCTAGGCAAAGTTGTGAGTCTTTGCGACAAGTGGAGTCCCCAAATGTTGGACACACGATGTCTAATGTATTTTATGTAAAGATGGTCAAGTCCAGGGCTCCGAAGAATGACTATTACATTATTAATGAGGGGGTTTTTTTTGTATAAAATGTCAAACTCAAGTAGTGGAAGATTTTCCAGACACCAGTGTAACATCTTCACAATTGTATGTTTTGTATATTCAACAGTCTTTTGCCCAAAGTTATTCAGCTTACAGTGATACAAAAAAAATCACAAAATATCATTTATATAAACAAATCCTTATGTTTGAGACATAGCAAAGTGCCTCAAGCAATTTTTAATAGTTAATCTTTAACTTTTTAGTTGATCGACTCTTTGCTTAATCGACATTTCAGTCTGCTGTCTGTAGATTGTATATTGCAAAACGACTTTATATAAATAACCAAACACCACAAAAACGTGTAATTGTTCTGGTGGAAACTGTAAAATAATTGTTGCTTTGTTTCCCTTTTTCAGTCGTGTCGTCACACTGAGGTCTTGTCTATTCTTACTCACTGAGAAACTGAAATGAAACAGGACAGCTGTGTGTCCGAAAAGAGAGGCGCTGATGCTGCTTAGTAAGGGATTTCCCTTCAGCAATGAAGCAAGTGATGTGACACAAAAAGATTGTCATACAGTTACGCATTCCATAATGACAAGGCTTTCAGATGGAGCGATTGACTTAAAAGTGTGGGGATTTCCCCTCTCTAACCCTCTGACAACAACTGATGCATCACAGCCTTTCCACAGCCACACAGATGGACCTTTTTCTATCTGATGATGCTTCTGAAGCGGCAAAAAGGTGCTTGAACAGTTAGTCAGTCAGTTGATTTACATAAAACACCAGCAAATGTGATAGATGAGTAATTGTTTCGTGGATTAACAAAACCACTTACTGCCTCCTGCTATGTTTTATTTACATTATAAATTAGACATTAATAGTATTGGTACATCCAGTGCTCTGTATGCTTGATTTTGTCGATTTTATTTTGCAAATGTACTTTTAATAAGCATCATAAGAACATTCTGTTTCAGTGGCATTTCGACAGAAGCACTGCCAGTGTCTCCTGTTGTCACTGGTGCAAGATCGCTGCAAATTATGAAGCTAACAGTCGTCAAATTTCCATATATATGAATGAATTCATTCATCGCAAAGGGTTCTCTCTTTGTAATAAAGTCTTGATGGCTTGAGCGATCATGTTCAGCTCAAGATAGCGTGTTTTGTGGTCCTCAACTAAAATTAATTCAGTGCTCACTTTTTCATATTCGCCTCCTCAGAAGTAAACCTGAGGTATTTGAAAATCAAATTATTTATAAGCTGGTTTCTTAATTGACCACGTAGCCCAGTTATTTGATAATTTGTTATTTTCTTTGTAGAGTTGTGCTGATGATTAGGACAAAGATAATGTGCTTTGTAGTAAGTCTTGTTGACTGTAAGAACCCAGCAATGGTGTGTCATCACGGTTCTGTTTTTTCATTTCATGTTGTTCATCTTTGTTTCTTATGTCCAGGTGCTTATGGACAACAGAAAGAGGCCAGCAGCTTCCTCCAACTCTGGGAGTTTGGTTTTCTGGTCGTCCTCATTTCCACGGCAACCAGCCAGGGTCCTGATTGTGGACGCTCTGCCACCCTGGTGGTCAGAAACCTGCACGGTGCTTTGTGATGCTCTGGACAACTTCCTGTCCCTGGCCTGTACCCTGGACGGGCCCTGCAGGATACCACTACTTAGCCTGTACGCCATCAGCAGGCAGCAGGAATGTCTACTGCCATTTGTGGTAAGATAGATGAAGGTGACACATTTCTAAAAGCGATGGAAAACACATTATCTTCCTCTTATTATTGCTGTCTCTTGTACTTTATATATCACCCCTGGTTCCGTTGCTGCTTTTTGTCATCCACATTATCTCTCACTTTTATCCCCTTTTCGGTTCCTGTCGCTTTCTATTTTCAGCAAGTTCGCAGTAACTTGGCCAGGCTGCATTCCTGCGTTGAGGAGCTGAGGTCTATTCCAGGTGAAGGTTGTATCAGAGGAGCAGCCAGAGGAGGTGATCTGCTGCGACAGGCAGTGCTGGACAGTCTGCAGCAGTATAAACAGTACATCAGACATACCAGCGCTGGCAGCCAGACCAGCAACAATATATCTGTGGAGGTGAGCAAAGATAGACCTTCTATATATACAACAGGAAAACTATTTCCTTTGGAAGTCACATGTTGTAAATCATCGGTGTTGGTGAACGCATTGTCCTGAGAATGAGGCTGCTGGTTACGTGACTTTTTACTTTCCTATTGTGCTGGTGCCTATAGTGGCAATAAAACTGATGCTACAGCTCACAATACATTTGTATATAATTAACACATGTACAAAACTACTGACTAGTTAATTAACCAGATGGGTGCTTAAAGGCATACATATAAGCTTTATGTTCAGAATAAAACTATTGCTGTTAAACCACTCAGTGCTTTCTGCCAGGCAGTGGAGATGCTGGGGATTGAACCCAGGGCCTCTTACATGCAAAGCAAGCGCTCTACCACTGAGCTACATCCCCCTTGAGCAGGGCTACAGTTTTCAGAGAAAAGATGCTTAAGTGCAGTTTTAGTCAGCAAAAATCATGTGGACTGGAGTCATGCACAGCCTGATTACTCTGCTGAGTCTTGGAGTACGTCCACACTAATGCCTTCTCATGTAAATGCACAGGGCATGCACGTGCTGGTGTCAACAGAAAGCAGAGAGTTGGTTGATTATTGATAGAGTCATGTGATAGGGGCGTGATGAAACAGGGAACAATAGGCAAGGACCCGGGGATCAAATGTTGGTATCTGCGTCATTGATTGGTAAAGTCTCAGTTTCTCCATGTTTACATAGCAACACTGCAAATGGAGTTTCTCAGTATCTTCACTCTGGAGGAAGTTTTACAGAAGCTGTGTTGGTATGTGGACGTATGGCCAAAATGCAGAAAAATAAAAGGCCTCCATTCTGTCCTTTAGACCATGATTTCATAAATTTGTAAAGTTAAACATGGAGATCCTGGGGATTGAACCCAGGACCTCATACATGCAAAGCACACACTCTACCACTGAGCTACATCCCCTTCTATCTTACATCCTCATGACTAGAACAAACCACCTGGACAGCATTACCTGGTTTTTGTTTCAGTTGGTAAATAACACGTAGAAAGAAGTCACACTGAGACTCTTCTGAGTTACAGATGAATAAACTCTGTCCTTTACTTCTATTCATGACCACCTATAGTCAGTTTTATTGTTGTGCTGTATAAGATACACTTAAAGGTCTTATAGAAGAGAATTGACCACACGGAGCTGTATTACTTCTGAGTATGTAGATAGGGTAAATAACTTTGACAAGAGAAGAAGTGGAGATGCTGGGGATTGAACCCAGGACCTCATACATGCAAAGCATGCGCTCTACCACTGAGCTACATCCCCTTATAGCTTATGTCCTCACGACTATTAGAAAACATTCCAGAGAGCACTACCTGGTTTTGCTTTTAGTTGGTGAACAACACGGAGAAAGAAGTCAGACAGAGACTATTGACTCTTCTGAGTTACAGATGAATAAAGTTCCATTCTGTCCTTTACTTCTATTCATGACCACCTGTACTCAGTTTTATTGTTGTACACTTCAAGGTCCTGTGGAAGAGAAGTGAACACATGTGGCTGCATTACTTCTGAGTATGTAGAGAGGGTAAACAGCTTTGACAAGAGAAGACGTGGAGATGCTGGGGATTGAACCCAGGACCTCATACATGCGAAGCATGCGCTCTACCACTGAGCTACATCCCCACATTTTAAAGTAAGAGATGTCTCGATTTGTGTCTCGATGGTTACCTGCTAGTTTCTCTGCTGAGTCGCTGCAGTTTTTCATGGTGAACATTTTGTGTTTCTTGCCTTTCGTTTACATGAAGAGGCAGTTTTGAATCTCTGGGTTTTTGAAAAATCTGTTTGAAGATATTGAGAAACTCTCCCTCCCTCCCTCCCATTTCCCAGTTTGTTCATCCTTATTTCCTTTTCTCAACTCCTCTCCTCGTGTCTTAGTCCCTCCTACTAGAGATGTGAGCGGAGGAAGAGACACGAGGAGGGAGGAGTTGATGCATTTAACAAAATGAGACATCTTTTCCTCAGAGCTGTTGTTTCAAAGCGATGTTAGTTAAATGTGTCATGTGGCACAGCTGCATCATCTTTCCATTGTTTCCTTATAGCCTGCTGCTATATTTTGTGATCTGTGTCAGTTGGGCAAAACAGTGTTCATAATAACTTACAGTATATATTTACTTTCAATTCAACTCACAGCGTGGTATAATGTGACAAGAATGTGTTGACGTCATACTTTATTCTTTGTATTTCACACACACACAGGTACAGTGAAGTAGAAAAGAGATGGGACATATATATTATATACACTCATTAGTCAGTCCTGCTTGTGTGTTACGCCTCTTTTATGTCATGGATGCAGAAAAGACTCCCTCAAGAATAGATCTGTCTCCTCCACCCTTGATACTTGACCCTTAATGCATTTTAGAAATTGAGACGCCCTTCATGATGCCATGTTAAGATTGATTTCTGGTCATGGGCCAGAGGATGGTGGACAGAGGAGACGAGGAGAATGAAATAGTGAAATGACGTAAGCCTTCCATTTCCAGTGTTAATGTGTAGAAAAGGAAGAACGGTTGATGGCTTGTAATGTCAGAGTGTGTGCTGTTGTGTCCTTTGTTTACATGACGCAATTCTGTGTGGCCAAAATAGTACCAACCTTGCTCACAGGACAAGTTCACACATAAATGTACTCCTTCCCTGTACTGAGTAACATGGTTATCAGAATCAGGCTGCACATATCACATGATTCCCTCCTTTTTTGAAGCAGTAGTGACTTTTCTCAAGTTGACTTTAGGGTCATATCATCTCCTGTGGGTTTGGAATGTCCTCGACAGCACTTTGGTCGTGTTTTCGCAGACAACGGAGGAAAAACTCAATTTTAAAAACCACCTGTGTATGTGTAGACTTGGATAAGTGATACCTGCCAGCAACACAAACAGCAACTGTTGTGTAGAACATAAATACAGGTTTGTGATTATGGTTGTGCTGTGTGGCTGAATATTTCTGAAAATGAGCGACTAGAGGTGACAGAAAAATGAGTAACCTTACAGAAATGCCATCTTCGTATGGACACAAGACTCAGTAAATGACTTGATCAGTTTAGTGAATATATTATCTTTATCTAACAAAACCTCTCTGAGTCAAGTAATGTTGTAACAGCAATGATTCCCAGCGTGCAAAGCTGTACAAGCACATTCTTGGGATTTTTTTCGCAGCACTGTGCCTCTAGGACAAAAAAAATAACCTGTCTGAACATGAAATTAGATATAAATAAATATATATGTAGAAAAAATATAAATAACATTCGGTAATGACTTCTGTCAGTTTTGAACACTTTTTGAAGCGTTAAACACAAAGTCATTTCCTCCAAACATTTGCCTGTTTCTTTCTCTCCACATCCATTATGAAGGAGCATCTCTGGAGCCGCAGACCAGCTCAGACTGAATAGATCCCTTTTGATATTCAAGCTTTGTACTTCATGCTAATGTAGAGAAGAGGTTCCACTTATACCTGTTAAATAAGCTCTTCTCGGGTCCAATTCAGCGTATTTAGCAGCTGCAAAAAAACATATTGGATTAGGAATCTCATTAGCATGTTTTTAAACGGTCTCTTTTAACAGTCCGTTTTAGTGGGTGAGAACTACGGTCCACTTAAAATAAGCTCATGCACATTTCAAATGCAGCAAATGGCCTTTATTCATCTGCTACTGAGCCATCTGGCTGGAAAGAGTTGCAGAAGCGTTTTCAGTGCTCCCCTGCTATCACTATTAAACGGCACTGTAGAACATATTAAAACCCATTTCCTCACTGAGTTTTGCACAGTCCATTTCTCAGGCAAATCTTGGTCTAATTGGTTTCCACTCACTGATGGACTTGTTTCATTACAAGTGGAGGATTTTGTTGACATCAATAAAAGATCATAGCCACCGCTTGGATGTAGAAAACTCATAAAACTATTAATTTGTCTTTATGTTCTATAATTCAGAACCAGCTGTTGGCTAATATTCTGCAAAATTGTTCGACTTAAAACTTGAGGAATGAATATGTTTTGTATTCCAGCAAATGGCAAAGTTTATGGGAAAAGGACTATTAGCTAGCTTTACTGTAAGCATCTAATTTGTTCATTGTAAATGTAGGACAGATGAGGCGCCAGCTGAGAAATGAGCCAGTGGCTGCCCTTGTTGTTGAGCTTCAACGTGTCCTCTGGACACGAGGCTGTGAATTGTTGATGAGGATTTCTCAAATCCAGCCAGCTTCTTTAGGAGGCTCTGGACAGACGATTACACTAAGACCCACTGTTTCTGACAGCGGCAGATATGAATAGCACTATTAGGAGACACTAAGCAGAGACATGGGCCTGTGTATGTGAGTCTGTGGGTGTGTGCAGATCCACGAATACAATACATGTTTTCTTTCATGTACACGATTCCAGCATTCATGCATGTCTTCTCCTTGATGATGTGCATCAGGCTTCTACTTTTGGCTAAACAGCCGGAAGCAGAGACCAGAACTCATGAATAATCCTATTATAATCATCATTTAGTGCTACTGTTAATGCGATTCAGTTGGGTGCTCCACATCACTCTAATGTTAGTTTATCTCTTCTTTCCATTAGGAATGTAAATACGGCAGGAAACTAATTTCATCTCTTTCCATTATCAGATTTTTGTGCTTGTTTTAAGATGTTGGCTTTTGTGCAAATGTAATGCAGAAAGCTTCACTACCAAAAAAAGAATGGCTAAGTGAAAACATTCAACAGTGTGTTACCAGTACTTCTGTTCATTTAGTAAGAATGTTATCTCAGTTATAGAAAACATGATCATGAGGTAAAAATAAAGTTACAGCCATTGTTTTCCCATTAACATGGGACTTTACAGTGTGTCTAAGTGCAGAGTTGAATCATCATAACTATGTGGTATTCCTCTTTCCTGTTGGAGTTGTAATTGGCTTTACTGGGAATGGGACAGCGGCTCTTACATCATGCATTCAATTTAGTAACTGTAATTTACTCTGTCACCTCCCCAAAGTACATGAGAAACAGCACAGTCAGACACAAAGAATGCTTTGCGGTGGTGGTGATGTTGTGTTCTCTTCCTGTGATGTTCCATGAAGCCAGCTGGAACAGCTCAGAAGTGAAAGAGTTTTGGAAAGAGTTTACAGGGAGGAACATCAATGGGGCTTAATAATAATACAATTAAAAGTGATTGTGTTTGTTTTAGTGTGGTGGTGGTGGAGGGGCAACAGTGTTGGTTTACATCAACAGAAGACAAGAGGCAGACGTTCGTAGCAGGACACATGAGTCTAAAAGGCAAGGATGGAGCTTTCAGTTAAACTTTACTGGTTCAGGTGTGGCATGAATGTTCACGGTAATTTGGTTTTGGCTGCATCTGATCTCTCAGTTAACTAATTTGGTCAGATTTCAATTCATGGACTCTACCTGCCAGCTTTATTCGTCCAAATGAAGGAGTGTTTAAAGTTTATGAAATACTTGTAACCTGGTTATTTTATGCTGATATGATCACAGCAGACCAATGTGCACTGCCCATATTCATATGGTTTCTACAGCAGCTGGTGATCCAAGTTCGCCTTGCGTTGTTAGATGATCTGCCATGTTGGTTGTTGATGATCGACAAACTTCTATTTGCAATGTTTACACTCAACTTTTTGACCATCTGTTTTACCAAAATGCAGGCAAACCTATGTCATTTTTTGTTTCTCTTTCATTCAGCAAATGTAAATGCTAAAAAAGTTTCCCCATAGCAGCCTCCATTAGTATAGGTGACTTTGAAGTTGTAAAAACATGGTGATGTTCACAAATAGTCTGTTCCCCTGCCACCTAGAATCCTTGATTCACCCTGGAAGGCCGTTGATGTTGCACTTTTCTCACCCGCGATTCTCCAACCAAAGAGAGTTTCGTTGGATGAAAGCATATCAACGAACCCATCGACCAGTCGACTCGGATTCTTCAGTTCTGCTATTCTTAGCTTTCAGAGGACGATTCTCAGTCGTTTCAGAGACTGCTGACTTTTTGCCTTGTTGCACACTGAAGTCAACTTTCCCTTTGATTAAAACTTAAAGTCTTAAATACCTAAAGCTAATGAAATGCCAATGTTTGTACTCCTCAGAGGAGCACTTGTTCTCTTATTGATCCTTGCTGCTGCCAAAGACTTGGGCCTTAAAAATTATTTCCCAGTAAAGATCATTCTTGCGGGGGCTATTCTTTCTCTTTTTTCTTTGATCCTTTTGTTGTCTTTTATCTTTTTCTTCTGCAATTTTCATGCCATTCTGTGTGTCTCCATCTGGATCCAACCCTTCTGCATAGATCATTTTTTATTTTTTTTCTACCTCTTCTTGTTTTATTCCCAGGTTACCGTGGTGACCAGCCAGCCAGGTCGCGGCACGGTCCGTCAGTTGGAGACGGGGCTCAAACATGCAGACCTGATGTCACTGAAGCGGCTCCTGGTCGTGCAGATTAAAAGTGGAGGAGACTGGGATCAAGACACTCCCTCACCTGAGGCCACACATGCTGAGACTGAAGGTAGGAGACACATATGAAGATGCAGACCAGATTAGAACACATACTTACCCCAACAATTCAGTTAATACACTGCTGCAGTACATGTAACTCCATTTGAACCAACAAGGAGATAGCATTAATAAACACTCAAAGAACATGAAGGATGTCTGCTATCTATATCCTGAGCAGACTTGACTCCCCCGCACTTTCCACATACTTTATTCCTTGTGCTTTCTGTGGAGTTGCGTAGCGCTGACCCATTTATAACAACTGTATTTTTACTGCTTTCATCATATTTTCAGCACTCAAGACTCATGTCACAATTTATAGAACCTTGGCTACAATCCAGACATTTGCCAATCCTCTCACAGAGCCTAATTTCATAATCACACGTCGTGTTTTTTTTGCAATTACACGACGGTTCCAGTGATGTGGTCGGAGTAAGTAGAGAGCGCAGTGAGGAATGAAGGGGAGGAGAAAGTGAGAAAGAGAGATTAAAGGCGGAAAGAATAATGAGAGCAAGTTTAAGAGAGAGGAGTGAAGACTTTCTTGTAAAAATATTTATGCAGCATGTGAAATATTTATTCCATGGTGATAAATCATTATCAGTGGAAGACACGACTGAGCTGACTGTAACTTTGTTTTTCTCAGAAGTGTGTGTGTGTGTGATGTCGGAAACATTGTTCTAATGATGCTGTTAGTGTTAACTCACCTGACACAGTTGTATCACTTATGTAACGCTGCTTCCAAGCTTCCCCTTCAACTGCTTTTACATAACAGTTAAAGAACAATCTGTTTACTTTGTTCTAATTTTTGAACCTTTACCCTCGCTCCACCTCGGAGTCAATGTTGGCATTTAAAGCTGTTCAGTCCTTGTAAAACTGTAGGGGCAGTCAGATGAAAGAGGGGCGAGCAGATTGTGTGCATTTGAGTCTCCAGGAGTCACGAGGTGAGCGTCCTCGAGTCCTTCGTCTTTATTGTATTCATCAATCAAAATGAGAGATACTTATTCCTGTCCCTCCCCAGCATGTGATAAAATCGCGACGGCATTCAACACAGAAATGTTTGGAACGGAGCCTTGGAGACACGGTTTTGTAGTTACCACAGTTTGATGTTTGAGTTTGATGAGGCCTACACCCTTTTAGCTGCTGCAATGCCACTGGGAATAGATCACTGTGTTCCTCCACGCCGCTGTTTTCTTAGAACTGTTTATAGCGCCGAGCGTTTGAAACATGATAGTCACTCAGGCTTGTTGATACTACAGCTTCCACCCTCGTAATTATGTCAATACTAGCGGTGCTACCAGACCGCTGATGTCCCACATAAAGATGTTTTATTAGAAATGATTCTTTCCGCAGTGGAGAAAACACGAGTGTTGCTACCATAACATTTCCATGCGCAGTGTTGTTGGTTCCACTAGTGTTTGGGTGGCGTGTCGCGTAGATTTTCTGGAAATCATGGGTGTGCTCATGCCTATTGATTAATAGCCGTGTCAGTGCGATGGTTTCTGTAACCATTGTTTTTCTCATAAATACAAATTGTTTCAACTTCTTGGTTTCAGAACACATAAATATATAACATTAACATAAAGTAGATATGATCTTAACCTTCGGATTATACAGCCTGTTTGCATGATAAATAGTCTCTTCAATGCAGTGGTGAAATATGAGCCTTTATTTAAAATGGGGGGCAACACAACAATGTGAAAATACTCAACTGGAAAAAAATAAAAAAAAAGGTCCTGCATTAGTGCATTAGTTTCAGCAGCAAGATGTAATAAAAGTAGTAAAGTAAAAGGAGTGGTTTCATCTTTCTGACTGATCAAATCAAATCAAGTTTATGTCATTTTGCTGTACATACAGGCAAGATGAGAGAGCGTTTCTTCAGGATCCAATAACTTAAAGCAATTTAAATAAACAAGTGTTTGCATATCTGGATCAGCGGTTCAGCATTCTGACAGCTTGTGGAATTAAGCAGTTGATCATTCTGGAGGTTCTTCCTTTAATGCACCGGAAATGTTTGCTTGATGGCAGCAGTTCAAACAGTTTATGGAAAGGGTGTGAGGAGTCCCTGACAATGTTCAGTGCCCTGCTCCTGCAGCGGCTCTGGAGAAGTTCTTGGACAGAGGTGAGGGAAGCTCTGATGACCCTCTCAGCTCCTCTAACGATCCTCTGCAGGGCTTTTCTGTCTGACATACTGCAGCTGGAGGACCATGTTGAGATGCAGTATGTCTCTCCACCACACCTTATGATGTGTTATTATGGATGACAGAAGAAAAAACTAAGTCCTGATGCACAAATCTGTGTTCAGTTTTTTGACCTTTTTCCTGATCTCTGATTTTTGGTGTGATGTTGAATCAGCTGAAAATTTATGAAGAGAAAATCACTATTTGGTGGAACTGTTGTGACTCCATCTACACATTGTAAGAAGGAAGGTTGGTTTAGTTTTAAACTGTGAATTTTGAAGCTTAGAATGCCATCTATTGTGTAGCATTATCATCTTTAAAGTAAATGAAGCTGTCAGATGAATACAGTGGGGTAGAAAGCACGTTATTTCCCTCTGAGATGTAGTGAAGTGCAAGTACACAGTAGCATAAAAAGGAAAGTGCAACTACCTCAAACTTGTAATTGAGCACAGTGCTGGAGTAGCTACACTTTCTCACCACTGCCTGAATGCACTACGTTTCACTCTTTGACATTGCTCCGAGTAAAACCTCAAACATTTTGGATCAAATTCCGTAAGAATCAAAAGGGAACAGGGTCAGCAGCGCTGCATCCAAGATCTACACTGACCTCAGAGGTCGTCTGGCTGGAAACCGAAGCAGACTTAAATCAAAGATAAGAAGTTTAACTGTCTCGCCAGTATGAATTCTACTCAGACTTCCTAAATGCTCGAAAATATCCGCAGTTGTGTTTAAAATCAGTTCGGTCTCTACTGTGGAAGAACACGAGGGTGTTGACTAAAAACAAAGAGAGTTCAGAGACTCGCTGTCGGGGTGAGACCCACAATGACGAGCTGCTCAGAAACGGCAGCTCGCTGAGAGACACTTCTGTTTTATTGTGACTCTCCATTTATTCGCTGTGGTTGTGAAAAGTGACATGTGAATAGTGCAGCAATCCTAAGATTGAGGAAACAATGTTGATTCTGGGAATGTTCTTGAATATAGGCGTGTCACATAGCAGCAGACTATTTGTTTTAGCTGTCTGAGTTAGTTCTTCCACTGAGAGCAGTATGTTACAGTAAGTGGGTGTATCCATTTTTTGGTTTTATACCAAAGAGAGATTTGCAAAAGCCATAACTGATTATTTCACTCAATCTCTCTTTTTCTCTCATCATCATCGTCATCATCATCGTCACTGAGTGGTTGAAGCAGTGTGGACAATTTGGTTGATTGTAACTTCTACAAAGTACTTTCTTATCTTGGTTTTATGTTAAAAGTTAGCTTCACTTTGCATCCAAACTTTTCGTTCAGTGAGGTGTAATGCACATAAAAGTCATGACTCGAGCTTCCTGGCGATGCTTTTAGGTTGTCTGTGCGACGGCGTGTTAGATAAAACTAATTTACATCAAATCTAGTCATGATTACAACCTGCATAAAGACCTGCATCCGTCTCCACACCTATTACTCCTGTTTGAATTACTCATGAGCCTGTCGCTGAATGAATATATTAATATCTGGGTGTGTTGATGTCTATGCAATGCAATCATGACATCGATATTAACATACCTGTGCAAAGATATGTTAATATGTCCCGAAAAAAGCGGACGAGAAGCTGTGTAATTATGCGTGCTACATATTTGAAAAAGTTATCAGCATGCAGACGGTTGTAATTCTTTGTATGTGGGTGTGGAGCAGTCGTCTCCTGACATCGGTACCGGCCTCCCTCCACTGGCTCACTGTCTGTTTCATGATAGAGTTTTTTGTTTGTTTTAGTTTTAAATAGGTTTGCAGCACTTTTATTAGCAAAACTCTTACACTATCAGTTTATGTTTCCATGCGAGAGCTGCTCAGGCTTTAGAAACTTGCTGATTAAGACTTTTTTATCTTTTAATTTTCCTATTATTTGATTGGATTTCACTTTTAGTCATTGGGTTTTATGATTTGAACTGTACAGCACTTTGGTTTAACTCCTGTTGCTTTATAAATAAATTAGACTTATTTGTACATAGCTAAGTAATGATGTAATGAAGACGGATCAAATTCTGTCTTTACTCATTTCTTTGCCTATTTTCAACCTCTAGCTTTGCAGTGGAGAAAGTCACACACGTCTTTTCTTAACATAGACCTACCACGAATCCAAATACTTAGCAGAGCTTACCCTTGCCCTCTGCACCAATGAGTAATCCGTTTTTTGGGAGAGGCAAACAGTCTTCTCATTTGCCACCTTTGCAAGCAGACTACCTTATGTGAGTAATTTTTTCTATTAGGCACTAAACACGTCATTGTCCCAATGTCCGTGCCACCACAATGGTCTGTTGTTGCCAGATTCCAGACAATCTGCCTTACAAGATTAGAGACATGCAAAAACAGAATTTTTGCACATCATCTCACAATATGGAATGTTTTTTATATATATATTTAAAGGCTGATCTGCAAGTATTATCATACTAGGCGATGCAAGATCTGGATAGCCTTGACTGCTCTGAAAAACAATAAGATACAACATTAATAGATAGTCCTTGTAATGGTCAAGATAAGAGCTTAAAAGTACAAGTAGTGAAATCTAAGTATGTAGTCAAAGGGTAAAGGTTGAGGTGAGGACTGAAGGTCAGAGGCTGGGAAATGCTTTCAGACAGCGATAGTCCTCGTAAGTATAAAAATACAAACGTGTGTGAAAGTGTCTGAGGGCCAACGCCTTGATTAGCATCCTGTTTTTGTTGAAACTCCACCAGTGCATCCTTGAATCCAAAGTGCGTTCTGTAATTGTACAGCCGAGCACCAGGGAGAAGATGCAGAAATGGGTCACAGAGCGAGAGGAGCAGAGTGAGACGGAGACGGGGATGATTATGGCACCAGTGGT